AGAGCATGCACAAAGGTAAAGAACAACCCGTAATCAATAAATTAGGAGAAGATCAATACATCACATCTCATGGGAAAAAAAGGTCCCATTACAAAGGTAGAGCAAAAATTGATCGGTCCTTAAGGAGGATTACAATACTGCCTTTCTGTAGAAACCAAAGAACAAATAAACGAAAATATTTAGATTAATTCAAGAACTTGTCCATAAAAGTCACATGAATATTTAGCAGACACATTCCGTCATTATTTTCTATATCTCAACAATCTAATGCAAATACTTATAAAACAAAGTCAGCAAATAAACTAACATCAAAGGATTAGAGAGCTTACTTGGTAAAATCGTACATTAACAACACAAAGAAGAGGAAACTACTCCACTTATGACTTTCTTTTAGTGTCCATAAGTTTTTTTTCTCCGGTAAAGTGATAAGAAATTGAAACTACCCAATATGGATGAAGATACTCATTGTAAATTTTAATCCCTAACATTGCGTCCCTTAATTTTATTTTTGGAGGGAGATTGCTGAAAATTTTTAGAGGAAAATTGATATCACGGAGAATTGAGGCCGACAGGAAGAAAGGTTAACAGCGAGAGAGATAGAGCCGTGAGAGAAAAAAATAAAATAAAATAGGGATTTGACTTCTTAAGGGTACTTCTGAAAAGAAACCTAAGTTTTGATCTGGAGGCTAAAAATAGCCATGTCAATATCACTGGCCATATATATAATAAACTCTATTTTATTTAGTTTTCTACCTAACAAATAAATACCAAAAATTATTATTTTACCTACTAATAAGACTTAGGGGGCATTTGGTTTGCTCATGGATTTCCTTATGGGGTTAGGTATGATAACGGAAAGGATTATTAGTAGGTAAATTAGGTGTCGGTGTATTTTATTTTTATATTTAATTTATTAAATTAATGGTGCAAAAATTACTTACAAAATTTAAAAATTAATAAATATTGCTATTAAATTAATGATTTGTTTAAAAAAACTTAATTAGTTTGATTGAGTCCGAATAATGCCTATTTCAATATCAAATTTAATACAAGGAACAAATTCTAGAGTTCAATCCCAATTCAAATTTTCATCCAATGATGTTTCTAATTCAAAATTGACTCAGAAATTTCAAATAAAACATTAGTTTTATAGTAAAGAAAAAATTATTTTATAATATAATAATAAATTTATAAACAATATAATATCATGAGAAAATAAAGAATTAAAGGAAAAAAAATGTTATGAGAATGGGAATTAGATGAAAACCTGACCACCTGGTGGATTTAGAAGATTCATAAATAATTGAGTATCAATACATTCTTGCCAATTTAAACCTACAAGCTAAATATCTATAGTCGGAATTATTCCATTCCCACATTCCCAAACCCACCAACCAATCATCCCTTGATAAACAGGTCATCACCACATATATATATATATATGTATGTATCTATATATATATATATATAAGTATAATCAAATTAATCACTATTACCTCCAAGATTGTCACAGTGCCCCCTTTGTGTTATGATGTTAACTTATAATGTGAGAATACTTTAGAGTCATATGAACAATTTGAAGAGTAGTTTTGTTTTTTTTTTTTTTTGTTGGGGGGGGGGGATATCAAATTAAAAATTTTGGAATTTCGACTCATAGTATGTTTAGAAAATAGAGATATAAAATTAAAAATAACATTGATTTTTGTAGTTTCATTATATGACTTCATATATAATACACCAATGGATGATATTGAGAATATGGTGACATTATTATTGGTGTGAGCGTTGGATAATAATAAAGCATGATATGTTATAAAATCTAAAGAATCTTTGAATATAAACTTATTGAGAGAAATAATTTATGATAACATAAATAGATGATAAGCACTTAATAGTTACAATTTCAAAACGTTTAAGGTAATACAGATTTTTATTATAATGGAAACAAAATCCTAAAAATAGCCTAAAGCCCTAACTTTAGTAACTTCTCTCGAGCCGGCCGGAGTTGTGATGGATTACCTTTTTTGGTAATACCCACCGACTTGTGATGGGATTACTCTTTTTTGGTAATGTCTGGAACCCCATCAGAGATATAAACCCACGCCAACTGCAACAATCTGCAAACCATAGTGAGGTAAAGTACTTTAGGTGAGTCCATGGTAAAGTTCGAATGTGATATCATTTCTCACTTTGATCGAATTACTTTTTTTGGTAACGCCTGGAACCCTACCAAAGATGATAAACCCATGCCTACTGCAATAACCTACAAACTCCAATAGAAGGTAAACTACTCTAGATATACCCTAGGTAACAAGTTAGAGTGCGAAACTGATAACACTCATATTAGACCACATTTAGCAAGCAATTCTTATTCCTTTTTTACTTGTAAATGAATATCAATTAAGTAAAATTAGCTCATTTTTGGGTTAATTTTGCATAATACGGTGATCAGAGGGCCATTGTAGAGATTGTTGGAAATATTAAGCCAAAAGGTGGAAAAGGAGATGATGACCAAAATTGATGCTGCTGGAAATTGAGGATAGAAAAGATCGATTGAGGAATAAAAGAAGTTAAATTCATATGGCTGAAGGAAGGTTGCTGAGCTAAAATTATAAATGGATCAAAATATATATGGGTTTAAATGGACAAGAAAAGCAAGGTTTTGGAAAATTGCTATCATTCGGACAAGTGAACAACGTCACTTCCCCGAGTGGCTGCTGCTACTGCTGCTGATAGGACGCACCGCACCAATGGGAGGCTCAAGAATCAGATTTTGGAAGTTTTATAGAAGCTTAGAGGCTAAGCAAGGAGGTTGATTTGATTATTGCTAATTTTGTGGCTGAAAAGGAGGGCAAAAAGAATATGGATACAACTTGCTCCACTTGCTTGTTAAGTTGACAACTTACCAAGTTGCTCATTTTGTGGTTTGATTTAATGGAGATTAAAATTGTAAAAAGTGACCTCCTCCAAGTCCTATAAATAGACCCAATCAACTTCAAGAAGAAAAAATGAATGAGAATAGGATAGTAAGAAAAAGAGTTAGATATAAATACAAAGGAGTGGATAGGAGCAACTAGGAGGGGCAGGTTCTACCTGCCACTCGGGAAAGTGAGAAGAGACACTCGTGGAAGTGACCTAGTGACAGCAGAAATTTCCTAAGTTCCTTTCTCCTTCTCTTAGTTGTTTTCTTGTTTTGTACGGATGTTTAATAGTTAGAAATGCATCCTTGTGTATTTGTATCCGTAGTTTTAGTTAGCTAAACTCTCTCTAGGGTCCAATCCCTCTTATCTATACAAGTATGTTTTGGTAATGCTCCAATATCACTTATTCTTTCTAGTTTAAGTGTTATAATTAACTTTTTAGTTAGATTAATCGACTAACTAATTGTGCATGCATAGTTATGAAAATCTTGAGGGAGTGACATAACTTTAGAGCTGCTTAAATTAGTAAATGACAACGGGGATAACAACCATTGGTTTCAATCATTAAGGAGAGTTAGTTGATTGACATAGGTGATCAATAAAGCTTAAGTAATCAATAGCTTGGAATAATGAATAATTATCACTGAGAGGTAAGTAATGTGGTTATTCTGGGACTTCTTACTGGTAACAACGGGAAAGGTAGAGAATATATGCGTCTGATCAGACATAATTCATATATGCAAAAAGAGCAAATAAAACCATAACACAACTGATAGAGAGGAATGGAGGATGACCCTAGATTCCTTTTCTATTTATTATTCTGTCTGTCCACTTGGGGAGGTGACATTCTCACTTGCCCGAATGATAGTTCATATTTTGTTTACATGTTATTCTTTCAAATATCTTTTCCTTAAACATTTTGTGTTAATAAGAGTTTCACTCATCCATGTGGGATTGACCCGACTTCTGTTATTAGAGTATTAAGTTGGTAAATCATTTTAGTGGATCGACACCTATGAGAAACCACCCCTTATATTTGTTGGAATGAGGAACTTATGACCTTTTTTGAGAGAAAAAATGATTTTATCACTGAATTGACACACCATGCGCTGATTGGATTACTTTGTTCAAAAAATGTCCTAAAAGAATTGTGAAAATGTCCGTAGAGGCTAGTATTTCGGTTGAAATATTGGCTTTGGAGAATATAAACAAAAAAAAAAAAAGGAAAAGGCAGGTGAAAATGCTGGCAGAATGAAGAATCCACTTTGTAATGATGACGAAATGAGCGTGACGTAACTTTAACCAACAACCATCACCCACAAGGTCCACAAGGCCTACGACCACTGATTAAAACTTTTGTTCCGTGATACTGAGGGGCTCCATAAAGTCTTTCTGAGTTTCAAGTTTCAACCACTCACCCTTTGGATTTTTCTTCTCCCATCATGCCGTTCCGTTTTTTTTATTATTGTTCCTCTATTACTTTCCCTCTTTTTCTCTCGTTTTTCTTTCTCTTTTTTCTCGTCATCTTTTTATTTTTAATTAGTTGTTTTATACATGTTTAACTTTTTTATTCAAAACTATACCTTACATAAGTATAAACCGGTTTTTTTTTTGTTTATTTGTTTTTTTTGTTTTTTGAACATCAAGTATAAACCGCGAAGTACGCTAAGAAGTGTAACTAATGATCCTTTGTAGATTCTTCCAAACAAATATGATAATTGTAGATAACTAAGTACTGCAATTGGATCAATTTTCACCGTAAATTTTACTTTGTCACGCATGTTAAATCAAATTTTCATTACATAACCGTGATTAGTTGTTGAGCCAATAAAATTTTGAATGTTGTGGAAAATAACGGTTCTAGCGACGTTAAATAATCAATTCTAAAATTTATTTCACAAAATTCATATTTCAACTTAATCTCCCAATCTTAGCTTGACGGTTTCTCGAATACCATATACAATTAGTGTATTCAAACCAATAACATCCTCATTGCCCTTAACCAAAGTGATGATATTTTCATTATCACTTCTATATTTTTTTTCCGATTTCTTTCTCATTTGCTTTTTTTTTAAAAAAAAAAAAACTCTCTTTCCATAAGTAAGACGCCGCCATTAGTGTCGTGTACCCTGTTTCTTCAAAATCACATCACACTCTAAAGATGATGACAACTATACGGTTGTCATCAGAGAGACGTCATCGAAACCTACGTCATAACTTGAGATTTTTTTAACTCCTAAATCCAGGGGCATCATTTAAACGAAAATTAGACACATTCCCTAATTGCCCAAAACAATTTCAAACATGGCTACCTCGTATTTCACGTTCACATTCTTCCTCTGTTTCTTCTTCTCCCTTTAAATTCTCTCCTGATTAATTTCTTTCTCACTTACACCGTCCACCTATTAATTATATTATACCGTGTTTTGACTCCATGGATGTGGAGAAGAGAAAGCGATTTGAGGATCGTGATGGAGCTGACGGGAAAAAAGCCAAGGTCGAAGTCAAAGGCGCCGATGAACATACCCCGGCGGCGTTAAACTGCGGCGATCGCCGGGCCGACGAAGATGGGGGCGATGCCGACGCCGATGGAGAAGTCGAGGAGTTCTACGCCATCTTGAGGAGAATCCACGTGGCGGTTAAATATTTCGAGAACGGGAAGGCGACTGGGAAGAAGAAGACAAACTCGCCGGCGACGGCGGCGGCGAAACCGAAGGCAACCGCAACGGCGACGTCTTGGAATCTTAACTTTAAACGGGAGGATTTTGAGGGTGGTTGTTGTGATAACGGCCTGAAAGAGGACGAGAGGTCTGTGAGCGACAGCGCCAGCTTGGACCTTAATGTCGAACCCGACCCGGATTCTGAATAATATGTAATCAAATCTGCATTATATGTGTTTCGGTTAGGTTTATGATTCTGTGTTGTTGCTGTCCAATATGTAAACTTTTACTACTACTAATTTGCTAAAGCTAAAGTTAGTTAGCTTAACTAATAGTTATTCTGAGTTTCATTATATTTTATGATGAATTAAACAAAATGCTAATGTCTGGTGTGTATGTTATTCCCTCACCAAACTGATTTTTTTTTTTTTTTGAATGATATACTAGTATTTTGGGTTTACTATGGTTAGAGAAACCACTTCACGGGTTGATATTATGGCTCAATCATGATGTAATTGAGGTCAATTGTCCTCTAACAGGCTACAGTGAAGAAAATTTAAATTTGAACGGAGGAAATGATATTGAATTTCACATTAAATGAAACTCACACAATGGAATAGAGCACGGAATTTTACATCATGACTAGCTAGAATGCAAAGTCTGTTAAATATTTCTTTCTCTCTACTCGGTGTCTCCCCCTTCTCTCTAAACTCCAAAAAATTTTCTTCCCCTTCTCCCCCATCCACCATTAATGGGGATGGGGGAGCTCAAATTTATCTTGCTTCTTCTTAGTTTTTGTGATTTTGCTCTCCTTTCGGGGAGTTTCGCTCACTTTTTGATGGGTGTTTTGCTCATCCTTTAATGGGTGTCCGTTTTCTCTGATTGGAGATCTCGGATCTTCCTTCTTAGGAAATTTTATTTGTTATTTTGTTGTTTTTTAAGTAGTTTCTCAACAGATCTGGTGAAGAAAGTATGAATCTAAGTGGCACCTAAGAAGAAATCATGGTATAGGAAGAATCATGAAGTTAAGATACAAGGATAAAGGAAAATCTCCAGATTTAGAACTTCTAGGTTTGATTGGTAGATTTACCATTGCATTCAGTTTTAGTTCATATTAGATTGGTGTTAGAACTTTATCTTATACATTAGTTCTCTCTATATTATTCTTTTTTGGTAGATCTTTTTGGAAATTCTATACTTTAGTCATCAGAGAAGTTGTTTTAATCTGTCCAATTTAGCCTTTTCAACACTTTTTATACAGATGATGACACGTCTGCTTCTCTGTAGGTTGAGAAGTCGTGTATGACAGATTGCATTAGATCAATCATCGAATTGTGTAGCTCAATCCTCTATTGTACTCCCTCCATTCCAAAATAAGTGTCGTTTTGGCAAAATGGAGAAATTCCAAAATAAGTGTCGTTTTCGGATTCCAATGCATTTTTTGTCAAAAATTTCCAAACATACCCTCAAAAGAAATAATATTATTGGTGAGCATTTATTTTAATGGGATTGGTTGAGGATATTCTAGTAATTTAGTTACCTTATTTAATGTTTTCTTAAACTGTGTGCAAACTCTATAATGACACTTATTTTGGAACGGAGAGAGTACTGCTCAACCGTATGATTGATTTACATTTCTTTTAATATTAAATATGATTATCGTTTTTGACAAAAAAAAACTAGCTAGAATGCTAGTGGATCACATTAGTGGATAGCAAAATAAATAGGTACTCTTCCCATCCTTAAATTGTATCATTATTTTTAATTTACATTTAGTTTAAATGTGAAAATCTAAACTTATTAATAATTTGAAACAGATAGAAAATATTATTTGTCAGATGAGATGATTAGAGATTTTTATTAGATGCCAAGAGTTCGATTCTGGTAGCACAAAGCTGACATGAATGTGTGTGGGACGAATTATTCAAAACAACGTGCAGCCAGAGGTCATAAAATATACTAGTAATACTGTATGTACAGAGGATTATTTATAATACTGGAGAAGACCAAAACGACTTTGGTCATGTTGACATTCAGTTTTCTTCATTCCGCCTTTGGAAACGAGCGAGTCAAACAACGTTAAATTAATGCGACGGCGTAAATATATAAACGTTGCCTTTTCCACTGAACAAACCCGCGAGTCCATAATTAGTACTAGTATGTATGAATCTTTCCTACCTTAATTACGTCACATTGCTTACGTAAGCCTGCACTTGGAATAAATACTCTATCTTCCAAAAGAATTCTCTATTTTAAATTTTTATTTTTGATATAAATTCAAATAGAATAATTATTTTATTATAACGGACAATATAAAGAAAGAGTTTTTTATTTTCATTTTCTGACACTTTTTTTAATTATTGTTATCTACGAAGTACTGTATTTGGTTTTGGTTGCGACTCGTGACTAACGACTTCCGATGGCTCTCGTAAATTTCGTGGCACAAAACTCTCCGAACCACCGTACTCCGGTACTCCCGATTCCCGACAAATTCATGCGGAGTTTGGTATGAAGTATGAACTAAGACAAGGAAGATGGGCCTCTCCCTAATTTTTGGTCCCAATTTCATCACCGTACAATATTGGATAGATATTTTCCAAGTTCAAGAATTACTATGCGGGGAAAATAGGTCTTTTCGTCTTAAAGTTTGGATCACACTATCCAAAATATCCCAAAGTTTAAGAATATGACATTTACATCCCAAACTTTTTAAAAATATGTTACATTAGCATATTCGTTAAATTTTTAACTTCAGTTAATTAATTAGTGGTGGTACTTTATTCTGTTTCTCCTCCCTCAATTCTTTTAATCATTTAATACGTTCCACTAACTCCCACCTTATAAGAAAATAGTTAAATCTAATTTGGTCTTCACATCATCCATTCCTCCCTTGCTTAGAAAAAGAAAAAAAAAATACAAGATTCACCTTCTAGATTGATAACCATCATGAGAGATTTTGTGTGTGTCCTAATTAGAAAGTAAGCCCTATTTCATTTATTTTTTTAAATATGTAGTATCATTATAAAAATTGGTGTTGTAATTGATGCAAGGGCATGCAATTTTTTTGCTTGGCATGGACCAAATTTACCAAACGCAAGTATGAAACTTTTTTTACTAAAAAAAAATGGGGGAAAAGAAACTGAATGAAATATCACTGTTAATAACTTGAAAAAAATTAACAAATGTTCTAATATTACATATTTTTTAAAAGTTTGGGATGAAAATGACATGCTTTTAAATTTTGGGATATTTTAGATGATGTGGCTCAAACCTTGGAATGAAAAGGCCCATTCTCCCATGCTATGCGGTATCATGAGTTGTAGTATCACTGTAAGGCATATAATTTGAGGAACTCTGAATCTTGATTAGAGATTCTTACCATAATTTATAATCACCTAGACATTTACACTAGGCAGTAGGTTTCATTTTCAATTTCTGTACTACTGGTCTGGGGTATTATTGTTTCGATTCTCCTGTTTTGATAAGGTTAATTTGAAACGTTGTTTCTTTTTTCCTCTAACTTTCACTTATCATTAATAAATTTGAAACATGTAAGTAAATACTTGGTTATTCTGAGAAAGAATAATGTAGGGTGATAGTTTGCGAAATGAAACTTTCATAAAAAAATTTTAATTTCACTATCATTTTTAAAACTAAGAACAGTAAAATCCTCATCCTTTTGACCAAATAAGAGTTGGTGGTGAAAACCATAGTTTTAGTCGTCAAATAACCTTTGATGCTAGTATATTCATTGTATAATATGGGTATGAATTATAGTTACTATATATTGTTTTAAGCTAACAAAATCCGAAACTTTGGATCTCGACAAATGTGTCAATATTCCAATTATAGCTGTTCGTGATTTAGAACGTATCAACGAAGCTAGCAGCCCCTCAATGAGTGGAAAAGATGAAAAGTCGTGGGTGAACTTGATTAGTCCTTGAGATTTATATCAAAAGTTTCATATATATATATATAGTTAATTAATTAGTAGTGGAAGCATAACGTCTTTTTCTTTTCTTTTATTACCTTGTTTGGAAGATGGTGGCCTTGGCGTAACAAAAGTCTTGCAGGGTTAAATCAGTACTAATTCAGTGGCAATTTACCAGTAGTCATCATGCTAGTCATAATTGAAGTTACGAAATTTTGTCCAACTGGTACATTTTCAGCCACGAATATTCGTTTATTATTACCGAAAATAATTTATTAGCTTGTAGATCTTTTTGCGTTGAATTAGTTAAGATAGTAGTATTAGAATTATTTTGAGACGAGAAATTATTGTCCGGAAAGATAGTCATTGTATAAAAATAAATATCAAAGGGATTCTGCAATGAAAACATTATATCGTACGTTCTGATGGTGCAATTTATACATTATACCAGATTCATATTTTCGTCGGTTGGCATCTTATTCCAAAATTGTCGTCTCTTCAAACGTCAAATTCATATCATTGAGGACAAAAACTCGAGAATTTCATCGTAAGCCATTGTTAGGTTTTGAAAATGTGTGTACCACCTAAGGTATTAGGTTCTCTCTCTCTCTCTCTCTCTCTCTCTCTCTATATATATATATATATATATATATATATATTTTCTATTAGGCCCGACAGCCATCTCCTTCATGGTTTGGTATGATGAACCTTTTCCTGTTTTTTACTTGCGCATTTTAATCTGTATATTAACTTCGTGTCCGTTCATTTTAACTTTTGCTTACATATGAACGTTACCAACTTTAATGGATGTTGTCGTCCAATTTTCCTTTTTCTCATAAAAACGGCAAACTTGTAGAAGCCACCAAAAGACAAAAAAGCAGTAGCCACCAGCATTGCTTTCTTTTCCCGACAAAGAGAAGGCGAAAAACCAAGAACTCAATCTACATTTAGGACTAAATTACTCTCAGGGGATTGTGATTGAGTAGGAGAAATCTTCAATGAGTATTACTTCCTCCGTCCCACAATAATAGTCCACATTGAGTTTTGAGTTTTGTACTGTTTTTAATACAAATTTAAAAACTCAATGTGGATTATTTTTGTGGGACGGAAGTAGTACATATTAGGATCCAGTTTTGAACGTGTAGTATAACCTTAAAATCGTTTGTCCAATTATTCAAGGCATCGAATGACTAAAACTCCACAAATAGATTAGTCATTTTCGTTACATTTTAAAGTAGATTAAAAATACTAGGAGGTCATGTTTCACGCAAGAATATAGACTTCAATTAGGCGCCATGGAATATTCTTGACATAATTTTTGTGCGTCATTCCTTTTTTTTTAAAAAAAAATTTATATGAATAACAATCCAAAACATGTACGTATATATATTAACGTCTTATGCTGAATCATCAGTTAGACCATCAAATTGGAAGTTAAAACGTACTTCGCCGAAATTCATGAATATTATCACCAGGGGCGGAGTTACGTTATATTCAGGTGGGGTAATTGCCCAGTTGAAACTTTCATAATTGCCCCTTATACATTATAAAATTTCAAAATTTTGCAACTATTGCCCCAACAAAAATTACAAAGATTAGGGGCAAAAAGTTATAATACTCAAGTGACTTTTAATAAGAGA